CTTATTTATCAGATAATGCGCTTGATACAGAGAGAGAGAGAGAGGGGGGAGGGAGGGGGGATGCGGATATACAATGTCAATCGAGATCATTCGTGTGCATAAAAAAAAAAGAATAACTTATGACGAAGATTGTTCTCGTCGATGAACGTTCGCCTCTAAATCCCGCGTGGGGCGAAACGCGCCGCCGAAATTTGGCTCGTGTAAACCGCGCCGAATTGGAGCGGCTAAGTCGAGCAATTAAAAGCGGACAGTAATCAGCGGTTCGCTCTCGTGACATTAACGCGTTAATAAAGCGGGCATGACGGAGCGAGGCGCGAAATGTTAGCTACCGGAACTCTCGTATCGCGCGCGGCCAACGTTTTCAATTAAAATGCCGACGTCTCCGCATTGCAGCAGTAGAGTCGGGGCGAGATATGCGCGGATCCGCGTATAGACACACTCTCTCTCTCTCTCGCTCTCTCTCTCTCTCTCTCTCTCTCTCTCTCTCTCTCTCTCTGGTTGAGCGCGAACAAGCACGTTTGTCCTCGTAGCCTTTGCGTCCTTATTTTCTCGCGCGGTTTCGCACTCGCCCCGCCCCGTTTTCCACAAGCCGGACTTTTTAACATGTAACACTGCGCGACGGAAGCTCGCGCTATCGCGAACGCGCTCCCCGATAATCGTCCTCGTACGGTTACACCGGGTCTCCTGGTTTTACGCAGGAAAGCAATGCCCGAGCGAGAAAGTGAAGCGAGCGACGCGACGCGAAATGACACAACGGGTGATAATTAAAGCCGTAAATTAGGCCCAGCCGAGCTTTCATTTCGCTAATGGCAATATATATCGCCACTATATCGCGGAATTTCTGCTCGATAAGTCAGCGATCGTCCCGGGAGATTGCGCGTCGGGCTTTTGTAGAGCTCTCGCTGTAAGTCCTTGTAAAATAGTGTCCGTCACTTGTGTCGCGTTTATTGCGAAAGCGTGTGATCATCAAACATTGTGGCGGCGATGTAACGTTTTAACACACACACACACACACATGTAATATAATATTGTATATCACTGAGAATGCAACATTGTTCAACAGGGTTTGATATCACACAGCTTTGTTCAGCTCCTCGGGAGCACGATTTTTCTGGGATATCGGAAAAATCAATATGCGCATATTGATCCGTCTTGATAGCCTTTTATCGAATATGCATGCCCGCCGAGCATCTCCGGCGGAAACCCCGGCGCTTATTTACGCGAGGCTTTACCACCGCGATATAAATCGATCCTCGCTCGAAGGAAGCCCCGAAGCTCGAATCTGCCTGCCTACAGCGGCGGCGGCCGCAATTACGAAATCGCAACGTGCTCGTTCCGCGTTATCAAACGGCACATAATGAGCCACGCGGGAAATCATACGATATGCATATGATATCCGTCTTTTAAACATAATTAATTCCACGAGCGACCATATGTATCCCGCGTGCGCTCTCGACGTGTACGTGTACGTGTTACGTGGTTATATTTTTACACGGTCTATCGATCCGGCCAAGGTCGGATTTATTTCTTCTTCCCGCCTCCTTCCACCTCCCTTATATTTTATCGCGTATGCAGTGCACGCGCGCGACTCGATTATACGCGCGTCTTTATCGCACTTCTGCGTTCCGAGAGATATACGCGAGATTATCGTAAACTCGTACTGTGCCCCCTCTCCCCTCTCCCCTCTCTCTCGCGCGCGCGCGCGCGCCGCTTGAACGCGGAATCTCGACGTAGACTCGAGAGGCCAGAGTGGAAATACTCATTCACAGCGCGAGAAACGGGAATTCGCGGTGCGTTTAATGACGGATGAAACACGCGCGAAGCTCGGCGAGACGCGCTGACAGGTACGATCGGAACTTCTTTGGGAATTCGCGCGCGCGCGCGCGCGCGTCGCAGATTGCGTCCTTACGAAAGTTGCGCGGACGGGAGGAGCCTCAGATCTCGCCGGCGTGAATTCTAATCGCGGCGCTCCGCCGATCTCGCTTGCACGCTCATCAGCGAGACACACGAGCGGCCCGAAATATTTGTCACGATTAACGGCCGCCTTGGCAGGGAACGAAGGTGCCTGTTGGCTTGCGCGTGATTATGCATTGAACTTGAAAGTATTATTATCAATGCGCACCGGGTAACATTAGATGCGCATCGTGCAAACGAGCTTTCTTTGGCGACGGGTCAAGTATGCTCGCTAGCGCGAGATTCATTTGCGGCATTCCTTAAAGCATACGCGACACCCTCGGGCGGAATTCCGCGGGGGCTCGCGGTGAAATCACGGCCGCCGCCGCCGGCCAGCGCGTGCTCGTACAAGTGTAATTGCGCGAGATTTTCGGGGATCGCGAGCGCGCGCGTCCCCCCTCCCCCCCCCCCCGAGGCTCTTGCCCGCCACGTGTAAAAGCCACGTGCCGCGCCGTTGCGTTTATTTTCGCCTTTCGTCTTCGCTCGCCCGCTTTGGCCGCCCTTTTTTACTTCCACGGACTCGTCGTATCCGCGACGCGCGAGATTCTCTAGTGATTCTCGCTCTCGGGAAGGCGCATTCGCTCGGACAAGTTTGCGTCATCATCCGCGCGGGATGCATCCGTGGGGAGGACACTCGCGCGCGTCGTCTGAAGAAAGCAGCGCGAGACACGTCCGCTAAATTCGTTGACTAAGTAAATTTAGCCGCAGCCCGAGCTGTTAGTTTTACTCAGTCAGCATTGTTGCGATGAACGTGAACGGATCTGAGAGCGAGTCTTAGCCTCGCCGAAGGTACGAATCCAACGAGTGCCAGCGATCATAACGACGTGTGGAATACGTCTTTTCGCTCGAAAATTCTCTCGAAACCTCGCGCGATTGTGCTTTTTCGCGTGTTGAGCAACCGGAGGGTGCTACGAACGAGCTTTCTCCCCCTTCGCCTCCCCTGCGTTCTCGCCGCGATGACGCGTTCCCCTCGGTGACATTTTATCGCCGGTCGCGGCGTGCAATGAACTCGACATCTTTTCGCAGCCGCTTCACGCACCGCTCGATCCCGAAATACACGCGCGGAGCGTATTTTCGGACGTTTAATTAAGACTTCTTACGACCTACTTGCTCGAAATATTTCGCTGTTGACGGTGAGTCGCATGCCGTTGACGAGGATGCTTAACTTATACCTCGCGCTCTCGCAACGCCGCGCGATTTTACTGCGGATTTTATTAGGCGACGACGACTCTCCCTGCGATCAACGCACTTCCCAATTCGCCATCGCCGATGCATCACGCGATATCGAATTGACTCGACGCCCAGTGGTCCAGTTAGACTTTCTAGCACGAAGTAATTACAAATACTTGCTAGAAGCATTAGTTATCATCTATTTTTACGTAAATCTCTCTCTGAGGAATCGATTGAATCTCATTTAGACGATAAAAATAAATAAAAATAATAATAATTTAAATCCAGCCATTCACTATTTCTAGATTTAAATGTTTTTATATCACGATTACATTTCTTCCAACGACCTTCAACATTTTTTATAAACTTGATAAGAGCTTCTTCAAGTAGATTTTCATGTACATTCTCCTTTTCACAAATATATGTTTTTAGCTCAGTGAACATTTCTGTTCTTCTTACATTTTTTAAATTTGTACCATTGTGAAAATGAGTCCAAATATTGCGCTTTGTGTGAGAACACATTCCTGAAAGAATTATTGAAACTATGTAAGTGGCACATAGGAGGGCAGTCTGGAAAGTTTTGAGCCTAATATAGAAACAAGTATTTTTTCGGTGAAATGTAGTTTTATTTTTCAACATAGTCTCCTTTTAAGTCGATACATTTTTCCCAGCGATGCTCTAACCTCTTTAACCCTTCCAAATAGTAGTTGACGTCTTGCTCCGCAAAATAGGCGTTTACGTATGCGATGACCTCCTCGTTCGATGAAAATCTCTGTCCTCCAAGAGAAACTTTAAGCTTAGGAAAAAGGAAAAAGTCGCTGGGAGTCAGATCTGGTGAATACGGTGGGTGGTCAACCAATTCGAAGTGCAATTCGTGTATTTTGGCCATGGCGACCGCCGATTGCGTTTTTGGTCCAAAGTGAGCAAGCGCGGTACCCAACGCGCGAATAGCTTACGCATGTCCAATTCTTCAGTCAGTATATGACAAACGCGTTCTTTCGATATGCCTATAGCCTCTGCTATCTCTCTAACCTTGATTCGACGGTCATTCAGCACCATTTGGTGAGCATTTCCAATGTTATCGATGCGTTGTCGCAGTTTTTGGCCATTCCGAACGCTCATCATCAGCCAAGCTGGTACGACCACGTTTAAATTCAGCTGCCCATCTTTTCACGGTGGCAAATGATGAGACAGAGTCCCCGTAAACAGCGTCCAACTCGGTTTTTATTTGCGCAGACATATTGCCGTTCAAATGCAAGAATTTAATCACGGCACGATATTCGATTTTTTTAATTTTTACAGAAACACTGACATCGACTGACACAAACGACTGTCAAACCACAACTGAGCGTCCAAAATGGCTGAAATTTTTACAGTCATCTTTCAAAGCATTTACGATTGTAGTACCAGAATGGTTTTGACGAGTAGAGTCATCTTCATGTTGAGGCTCAAAACTTTTCAGACTGCCCTCGTATAGGCACTTCATATTTATAGTATAAATACTTTAATAATTATTGATTAAATCTAACATGATTTAAAAATCTGCAAACATCTGCAATTTGTTTACCAAATTATAGAATTTTTAAATCATAATTAATAAAATATATTTAAAAATTACCTTATTGTGATTCCGTCATTTCAGTAAGCTTATATATAAATGATATTTCATGTACATAACAACCAGAAGCGGTCAATAAGCAACATTGATTGTATGACGTCTTAATGCCGGGGAATAAAAACATAGTTTTCTTACAATATATGGCATTATAAATTAATATTATTCCTCAAATTTTGTAATATTATAATATTTATAATAATATATATCACTCAAAACATTTAAAAACAAATTATTAAAAATTTAATTTTTTTCATGCTAGGACATCTATCTGAACCACTATGAGACACGAGGCGAATTGCAACAACGTTACACGCAGCCAGAAGTGAAGAAAGAATGCTGCCACAGTTGTAATCAGGTGTTTTAAGCTTTGATTTTCGAAGTATTTCAGTGAAAACGGCCCCGGATTAGTTGACGATAACGTCGCTAGTCGCGCCGTTTTCGCGCCATGAATGACGCTCGTGCGCCGCGTCGCTCGATTATCATAGCCCATTATCGCGTAACGTATCGTTATTCCGCCATTACAACGCGACGCGAACGCATGAGGTTAGCGCATGAGGTGAAAAAGCGTTCGAGCTAATTAAAAGGATACGGTCCTGCGAGCCGGCCGACGGAGTGGTTCGCAAATATAGTTATATTTTGGTATCGCAGTTGTGTTTGGAGAGGCTCAAGGGCCACCCCCGAAGATATCGGCCATTAACAGGTCTCTCGAAAGCCACCCTGACGCATTCTGCTTGTGCGACTGTTCCGCAAACCACCCCAAGGAACTGGCATTCGGGCCACGTAGTATAATTCTTTCCTCCCTGCCCCCTCGCCGGCCCTCAAGCTTCGCTCTCGCGCGCGGGCGTCCCTTTACGCCCGTCTTCTCCGAGGATGCACGATTCCCCGATCCCCAATATAGCAGAGAGCTCAGCGTCAGCAGCAGCGCCGGCAACGGTATCCACCCGCACAGCCTTGGTGTTAAGGCTTTCCCCCGGCTTACCCTAGCGTGGTCACCCTCCGCGCACCGCCTCCTTCTCCTCCTCCTCCTCCTCCTCCTCCTCCTCCTCCTCCTCGTGACCCCGATGTAACCCGAGCACGCCCAGGCGGACAAACATTTATCTACGATTTGAAATTAATGCTCCGACCTGCGCGACCCCCAAAACGCGACCCCAGCCCGCCGAGATGGCGAAAGCGAGAGTTCGGAAGTTATTAGTCCAAGTTACGCGCCACCCTAAAACGTTTTACTCAACTATCCGCTCCGCAGCGGTCGCTTTTAGCCACAGGCGCGTGTAGTTCGCAGAGTCGGAATTTTCGACCTCGAGGGTCTGATTCTTCGAACGGAAATTTCGACGGCCAGAGATTTTATTCGCACATGATCGAAAGTCCTGCGCCCCCCTCTCTCTCTCTCTCTCTCTCTCTCTCTCTCTCTCTCTCGGCAGAGTTGCGGGTTAAATACGATTCAAATAGGTTCCGGGATGAATTAAATCGGCGTCCAGTGGGACGAAAGTGGAATCGAGACTTCGGTTCGGCTTCTTGCGCGCAGCTTCGGACGTGGCCGACGTTATTCGAGCAAAGTGAAGGAAACTGAGAAGCGTCTCCCGGAGAAGGTAGCGCAGCCCGAGTCCTTGGCGTCACCTTACGACGAGTCCATCGGGACACGCGCGCAGTCCTTCGAACAAACTAGCGAAAAGCGACTGCGAGGCGAAAGAGAGAGAGAGAGAGAGAGAGAGAGAGAGAGAGAGAGGATCTCTCGAAGCGAGGGGAGTTAAAAAAATGCGCGAGAGGAAGTACGTCGAGGTCATCGAGAAGCCTCGAGGAGATGCGCTACGTGACTCGCGGTACGTCGACAAACGAGCGCGCTTACAGTGAAAAAAGACAAACGCGATCAGCCGCCTCCGCATATGTTTCCCATCGGAGTGAGGGAGAAGGAGAGAGGCAGGATGGGCGAGCGAGAGAGAGAGAGAGAGAGAGAGAGAGAGAGAGAGAGAGAGAGAGAGAGAGAGAGAGAGAGAGAGAGATGTGTTTAATAAGCGAGGCTGCGCGAGCGCGCATAATTCCGAATATCGCGTCGGTTTAATGCACCCACGCTGCGCTTCGCCCTCGCGCCGGCAAAGTGGTGTCTCTAATCTGGGTCAAAGGTGATTTGCCGCGGCGCGCCGTGCGCGCGCGGCCCTTCTTCGTGGTCGTGCACGTCGGTGGTTAACGCAGCAACGGCAGTCGAGTCGAGTCGAGTCGAATCGAAGTGTGTGACGTGCGCGCGCGCGCGCGCGCTCGCACACCGCCAAAGTATCCGATTCCCATTACTCGGCTATTTCGCGGAGGTGTAACGGATCGTGTGTCTCAGGTGCGACGCGACGACCTGGATTCGAGGACGTCGCGACGCGTCTGAAATGCGTCGCGTCGTAAATCGGAGACCCGTGGAACGTCGGAGGATATGGAATACGTGAGAATCGAAGCTGGATGCGAAAGAATCTCGTCGGGGGATAACTTGATGATGACTAACTAAAATCTTTTGCCCGCGGAGAGAGACTGCGGTATTCCTCGTCATTTCGCTAGACATCTTTCGCTAGACATCCCGCGTGCTAGACTCGTGGCTACGCTGCGGATGATTACGGATATATTTTAATGAGGCAGTCGAAGACGCAAAGCGCGGTTAAATTTTCGTCACGTGCTCGTCATCTCGCATCGCCTTCGGTCGCGAGGTCAAGCTTCGGGATGCAACTTGTTATTTATTCGCGGTCGCTAATGATCATTACGGATCTGCACGTGCAGTCTCATAGATGGACCGATTAATGTGCGCAAAACCGCAGGCAACGATGCCGGAAAATCAAACGTCCCGCCGCCAAGACTCCCGCGACAACGTGACATCGTGAATAAAACATCGATCGATATCATCTAGATAGAATGCGTCCCACTTGCCGAATGACTTCTGGGGAGGGGAAGCGAAGCAGAAAGAAGGAGGGGGGGTGGCTGGGGTGGATTGGCGGAAAGAAGCGCAACGCAATCTGAGTTTCTGCTCGCGGGCGACAGGGAGGAGAAAGTAGACGGCTCGAAAGCGAGGCGGAAAAGTAGGCACTCTCCGAAGGTGCGATCTTGGCCGAAGGTATTGACTTTCCCGAGGGTTCGCCCTCGTTCTCTCGGCGGTAGCGCGCGATGATGAGATCTCTCGGGGCGAGGACTCTGCCTACACACCATCACCTGCCCCCGACCCGCCCGTGCAAGCTCCCTCCCTCCCTCCCCCCGTTGCCGCGCTGCTCCTGCCGCGGGGGCGGCGCGTAGGTGCGAACGGGGTGGTTCGCGAGTGAGCGGCATTCCAGGATGTGCGGAGGGAGAGAGAGAGATACTCCCTCGCGCGTAGGTGGACGCTGTGTAGTAGACGTAGAGGCAGTGAAACGGGCGGTGGTTCCATGCCAAGCCCCAGATACCACCATGCGGAACCCCGCCACTGGCTGACACAAATCTCCGCAGGAAAAAAAGAACGCTCGTCCTGCCGGGCGGTACTTTCGCTCAGCTCTCCGCTCGTCTCTTCACTCCTCTCGCTGCCTCGCTCCTCTCTCCGTCTCTCTCTCTCTCTCTCTCTCTCGCGCGCGCGCGCTCCCCTTTAATTTTTTCTGCTTTTTCGTCGGATCCGCTCGCGCAATTCGTCGCGTCTCTCGGAGGCTCGGCGAGGCCTCATTCTCGCGCGGTATCCTTCGCGTAAAATTGAGATTTTTGCATTCCTCCCTGACTTGCCTGCAATATACGGCGCAACGTAAAACTCGTAATCTCTGCCTGACGCCTCTAAACGTTTCATCGAGCGTTCAATTACCGGCGATGATGCGCCGTCTCTGCAGCTCGACGGCGCGGCGAGCTGCATTATACTCGGCAATTTCGAGCGCGCGGACACACATCTCGAGCGTCTGGGAGAAATATTCCGAAGAAGGAAGGTTTCCGACCGCGCCGCCGCGCCGAGCCAAGAGTGCTCTTTCTCACTCTCTCTCTCTCTCTCTCTCTCTCTCTCTCTCTCTCTCTCTCTCTCTCTCTCTCTCTCTCTCTCATCTCTCTCTTTCCTCGACGCGACGCGCCCCTTAATCCTTTCGCACAATAAAAGCCGTGCAATTCTCCCGCTTGGTCGTTCGCCGCCGCCGTGAACGCGCTTACCTTCTCTTCCGCATCGACGTGCCCTAAGCGTTCGTGGGTGCTTTGCGTGCGCGACGATTCTCACGTCGCGTGATACAGCCACATATACGCTTTGCCGTTTTGCCGATACGCGAGCGCGCGAGCAGTCTGGCGTTGCCGGCTCGGGGGTGGAAGGGTTGCAGTCGTCGGCGGAAGAGTCCTTCAAGACGAGTGCTTTCGCGACGGCGGCGTCGACGACGCCGACGGTGGCGGGCCTCGTGTACTCTGCCATTAGCGACGGCTGCAACGGTTAATGGAGGCGGCGGTGCGGCGTAGAAAACGGCGCCGCGCGCGCGGAGAAGAGGGAGACGGAGGAAGGCTCTCTCTCTCTCTCTCTCTCTCGCAGACTCTTCTCGGTATGCGTGCGTGCGTGCGTGCGTGCGTGCGTGCATGCGTGCGTACGTGTGTGCAGGGCGCAGCACGGTGCAAAGTAACGGCGTGATCAATGCCGCAACGCTAATTAATTAACATTCCCTCGCGGAGCTCTCCGGCAGACACACCTATACACACGCGAGAAGCCTTCCCTCGCCTTTCCCACCCTCGCGGCCCCTCTTCAACCCCCTCGTCGAGTTTCGCCATCTCTCTTCTTGTTTCTCGGCTCCCTTCCGTCTCACTTACGCGCCTCTCTTCTCTACTCTCTATTCAACTTCGCTCTGTCTCTCTCTCTCTCTCTCTCTCTCTCTCTCTCTCTCTCTCTCTCTCTCTCTCTCTCTCTCTCTCCTCTCTCCTCTCTCTCTCTCTCTCTCCTCCCTCCCTCCTCCTCCCCCTCCCCTCCCTCCCTCCTCCCTCCTCCCTCCTCCTCATCCCCCTCCTCTCTATTTCCCTCCTTTTCTTTCCCCGCAACCTCCGCCGTTCTCCTCCCTCTCCCCTCTCGCTCTCTCGTGACTTTAACGCCAACGATCGTTACCGTACCGCGATAACGACGGCGGCGATGGCGACGACTAAAGCACCCGGCAGGAATATTCCTGAGAGGATTATTCCTCGTCGGCTAGGCGAGTAGTCGAAAGTTTCTCTCGGAGCGGCGAGACGCGCCGCGCCCTGCGTAGACCATGTCTCTGGCAGTTACGCTAGGTTTAACAGGCATCACGAGATACGGATAGACGTCAGCAAACGCCTACTCACATGATCTCTCGAGAATATTCGCACGCTACTCATCCTATAGTGCTGTCGCCTTAGCATCGTGGCTTTCTTTCAGTGCAGGGTGGTATTAGTAGATTG